ACAAAAATACCAGTACGGTACTCATAAAATCAAATGCGGATTATATTCATATCGTATAAAATAAAAATGTCAAGTAAAATTGTCGATGCCAACAATTGTGTTGTAAAAACTTGGAGAAAATCTTTTGAATTCAGAAACAAGAACTCCATCTGCAAGTAGATTAGCAACTTGTGAGTTCCATTTATGGATTTCCTATTCAACTGATAATGAACACACCAAATGCAATCTTTCTCTCTCCTTCTCCTTTTCTCAGCTAAAAGGTCTCAGGAGTCGAATCGGTGTGTGTATGTTGCGTTTAGCGCCCGCTCAGTTCTTTGCATCTCTTGCAGCAAAATTATACAGTTCTTGTTTCTTTTCTTTTTTTTTTCAACTTTCTATATATGTCTCATGCCATTTTTCCTGGGTGATTTGTCCATGCGTGAGCGCAAATTCATTGTTGCCTTTTAGCGACATGCATACAATGGCATTTGTTTGCAAATGTTTGCCCAACTGAATTTGTTTGTCTCAGTTTGAATATTGTAGATTTTTACGCTTTATTCTAATTGTCTCTGCATGCACATTGCCTTTTGTTTTTGTTGTTTATCTTTGTTTTGTTTTTTTTTTTTTTCTTCATTTTCTTTTTTGTTGGTGTTTCGTTTTCATTTTTGTGTTACGATTTCTCACTTATTCTATTTGCCATAATCTTCTCTCGGACTTTCTGTTAGTTTTCATTAAAATATGATGGGGCATACCAACAGCGACCGTTGTTCGAGAAAATGGCTGGTGTTTAGTAGTCACAGAGGACATTGCATGACACAAACAAGAAACAACAAAGATAAAATAAACGAAAAAAAAAAACATATACAAAAAATCAAACATGTAGCATTGTGCAAAACAAACGGGTCGCTCGTATTGAGACTAACACAAACCGTGCAACAATAGCATGGCAATGAGTGAACCGTGCACTGGAACTATAACATTTTTTTCTGTGTCTCCACATTTTCTGCTTTTTTTAAATTCTTTTTCACTTCAATCGCTCTCCCATTGTAAACATCCCTGTGCTGAGAGCAAGGGAACGAATACGACAGAGATATAGAGAAAAGTAACAAAAAAAGAGCGAAACAAATATCCAGTGACTCAAAGTGACAACTTATTCCTTGAAACTGAATGAAAAAAACATCATCACGAAACATAAAGCAAAAACGATCAAGTTGACAAAAATTCGTTTAACAGAAAATGAGGCAAGTAGGAAAACAAAATCTAAATGGCGAAAATAAAAGAAACAATAGCAAATCCTTTAAGCCTGAGAGGGCTATGCGATTCAAACAAATCTCATTTTTTCGGGGGTTTAGTTTTATATTGCCGTTGCATAGCTAGTTTGTTTATTTTTTTAGTTTTCAATTGTTCGAATGTTTCTTCTTTTCTTTCATTTCGATTTTATGCTTCCAAAGCCAATATAGAATGTTTCATTGTTGTTCGAAGATTTTGGTCTGTGTGTGCTTCTTTTATTCTAACGCATTCATTGTATTTTCATCCGGTTTCGTTTTATACTTATGTTTTGTTGTCATTTTCGCTGTGTGCGATGCATCAATTTAAGCAATTTCTTCGGTCGGTTGGTGGAATATGTCCATTGTTTGTACGATGAGCACAAGACAGCATTAACCATGAAACATAACCTTTTCCATAGAAATGCTTGCGCAGGAGGATAACTGATTTTGTTTATACTTGTTTAGCTGGTCGCCTGTCTCTGTTGCATTAAGTGTGAATTTATGTGTCTATATCTGTCGTTCTGCACTTGGTGTCCATGTGTGTTTGTTTTTCTTGTGACGAAAATCCATTTGGCTACGGTCTATTCAACTTGAATTTATCTACTTTTTGAAAAATCGTAGGTGATTTTAAATAAAGGGCATTTTTCTTTCATTGAAAATCCGTTTATATTCAATACATACAATGGCATCATGATGATTCATGATCTTAGCTAATAATAAAAATGACAACTTTGTTTGCGCTTTTCTCCGCTTCGTTCTCGAGATATTTAAGTTTGTTCATGATTTATTGCAAACAAAAACTCAATTCACAGTGGAACACAAGACATTTCAATCGCATCGATTCAATCGAATTCGAATGTCGTGTGTGTGAGAGAATTTCAAGGTAAATTACAATGGTTTCTTGAATTTACTACGGTCGCTTAAAATCGAATAAAATTCAATGGATGTGAGTCAATATTTAACATTCTTCGAGTATTTCCCCGGTTTATTTTCGCAGGAAGTACACTTTGGAATGAATTGAGTCAATCGGAAAGTGTCTTTTACTGAAAGTAAGTTACTTTGGAAAACAAACAAGGGACAAACAACTCAACGACATTCATTAAACTAGCAATTCATTTGGCCAAATGGACTTTGGGTCTCAGTTGGTGGCAATATTTCTCATTAATATGAAATCTGCCAATTTTATTGTTCATTAACGCATAATGTTCAGTCCCATAATCCCGAAAATATTTTTTCCTATAATGGCACGGTGTTTGTCACTGGATCGAATTCAATGCGATATGGGAAGTTGACGGCAGAAGTGGTCTATCTACCCTCAATGCATTGTGCATCAAAGCGAACAAAAGGCGGAAGAATATATAGGGAACACAGAATCAAACTATGGATACAATTTCTTGATAATAATTTTCTCTGTTGAGCCCATTATCGCATTGCAGCATTTGCTATGTAAAATTGCGTCGATTTCGGGGTCTTATTACTCTCTGATTAATATCATTGCATTGGAAGAATGAGAGAAAAAAAAGTGAAAATAATACGCGTTGAATTTTGTTCACACATGTGTATACCCTCAATTATCAACGCAGACTCATCTTACAGTTTAACTTTCACATATGCGCAAACACATCAAACAAAATGAAACAAACACGCACACCGAATCAAATAACCTCGGAAAGAGCGTTCGGTTACCAAAACGGCAACACGTATTGCGTACGCTAGAGCTACATCAGATCGAACCAATTCCGCAATATCTATTATTATTGTGCTATTCGAAGCAAAGCATGCGTTGTGCAATGCAGTAACGACAACCATGTCGTTTTCGAATAAATCAACGCGACAGTTTCACTTATTCGCCTTTGGTGTTTCTATTTTCAACCGAAAAACAAAGAACATTTTGCCAAAGAATGTGCCAAACGAAGAAAATGCAGCGAAAAAAAGAATAATTACACTGAAAATCTACGTACTTTATCTACTCACATAATGCGAAATATGTGGCCGGGCGCTCGCATTACCCGCTATTTTCCATATAAAATATGTATCTATTCGAGAAAACAAATTGATCCTATTTAAAGATAACAAACAAATTTATTGTTTGGATGTGTGCCGTCATCATTGCTGCCGCTGGTGGTGCTATTGTTACTGTTGTTGTCGCTGCCTGCGTTTCCCATTGTATGCATGTGTGTGCGCATATTATTAAATGAAGAAGGGACCATTTGCTCGTTCTCTCGATTGATATCGCGTTGCCATCGAGACTCAACTATAATTTCGAATACGAAATGAATTCTTTGGCTTCGTCCACGCAAACGATACATACTACATATAGAATGAGGACGCAAATCGAGATGCGGTGATGTAAATTCACATTTAATGCTCTTTCAAATTGTGTGAAATGGTGAAATGGTGAATTGGTGATGTGTATGTGTGAATGCGTATGCATATTTCTTATACAATTTCCAACATAAAATGGTTTAATTGTTATCTATCAACTCTCCTATCGAATGCTCAAAACAAACCACATTACATTTATCGCCCAGATACACATCCACACGCAATATAAACCGATGAGAAAAACGTGTCGAAATTACTCGGCAGCATCAAACATCTTTCTATGGGACTTTTAATGTTCTGTAGCGATCGCTCCAGGGCTATCGTTTTCATTCAGCAATCGAGATAAAGAAAAATAACAATAACAATAATATCGTAATATAATCATGGCGAAAGGAAGCAAAATTAAAACATCGAAAAACACCGTTCAATCGCATAAGCATGATAGCCAAAACGAGGAACACATTGGCATTGCAACAAAAATTAAAACTCATCACATGTTTCGTGATGTGTTTTCGAAAGTGGTTTCATTAGGTAGTAAAGACTCCAAGTCACACGTTCTACATTACGAACGCATAGCTAAAGTTCATCTGAATAGTTTCTTTTGGTGCCAAATTATTAACTGGCGACGTTTTAAGAGGTGGGGTTCACTCCTACCGTGCAAATACCATTTGGACAGTTAAATTGCCAAAATTAGATTGAAGTCTATCTCTGGCACAAAGATTTTGTTTTTTTTCGCTATTAGATCTAGTTTAAATAATTCGATAAACGTGTTCAGCATTCACTTTAGTTAATTGCTATAGAGTCTTTGACATCTTAGTCGAATGCCACTTTTAATTTGATAATTAAAGTGGGTGAACGAAACAAACAGAAAGTAGAATAAAATATTCAGGCAAAAAAGTCATTGTAAAAATAAGCTTCTCTTTTTTTTCATGACATCATAAAAGTAATGCACTTCAAAAACGATGAACCCCTCCAGTTCGGAAGGATGCGTAACAAAGCCCCGAAATTTAAGTAAATCCATGCATTCGCCTCAATAAAATAGAGAAAATACCGGATTTATTGCGATAGCAACGAGCCATACATTCACAACGAATTTTGTGCATGGGATACAGTGGCAATTATCATTTCCCATATCGTTATAGTGATGCCTTTCGTTTGCGAGGGATGCACGCAATTCAGATATTTTATCAATTTGTACAGCGACGACGACGACCAAAAATTCATCAGCCGTTAAGAGAGTATAAAAAATTATGTTTGGGATAATGTCATGGATTTTGACATATATACAAATAACTTTAATCCAATTATAAAACATTGCAGTTGGTTATATTGCATTCGGGGATGTTAAATGCTACTTTTACTTTAAGTACCAGTCTATTCTTTCCCATGTATTTAATCGAATCGATAAATTTTCTCGTTTCATTTCAGATTTGGATGAGAATTTCGCATCGAATGCCCGCATCATTGCAATTATGAATGGAACGATATCGAAAGATAGCAATCCATCAGAATAATCAATTTATCATCGTTGGAAAATATGCTGTTTGCCATCGATTTCATTTAACTTGCAACGCGAACGTGGAAGCACATAGTTTTCAATCAACTTAAGAGATACAAACAATCGAACAAACAAGAACTACCCACCACAGCCAGCTGTTCAACGTCTACTGCCGGTATGTACTCGTACTGTATATATAAATGAAATTCATTCACAATATAAACGAATTATACACATGCTAAAACTCATAATATGCATAGTTATACATATATTCAAATAGTTTTGCGCACCACTGTAAATTAGATGTAGCAAATTTCAGAATCAAAACGACATGACATTAAATTTAATTGGCTTGTTCTTCGGGGAACACTAAACCGTTTTGTAAACTCGCTCACAAAACATTGTATTTATTTAGGAGGTTTCCAATGTTCCGACGAAAATTTAATTATACCACCGTCTAAATAGCTGCGACAACTAACGTTAACGCAAACGCTATTGTATCATAGTTTGTGATGTGGATTCGTCAATTGTGCGGCTAAATGAAATTTGTAAATAAAGTAAAATGCAAATAAAAATATAGGCAAAGTGATATAATAGCAGCCCAAAGACAAAGTACAAGCGTCGAGTTGAATGTAAACGAACATTACAACAAGAAAGGGGTGAACGTAACATAAGTGCTATATGGTACCAAACGCTTTTTCGTCAACCATCGTAATATGGTTCAAACTTCGGTGAAGTCGACAATAACACACGCTTAATACATCAAATTCAATTCATATGCAAATAACGCCAAATGGTACTGAAACGAACCGGATCGCGTTGCTCAGTCCTCATAACCAAACCGAAAATTGATGTCGAAAAATTCATAATGTTAGCACCATACACCATTTGCTTTCTATTTATTGTGTACACTTTGTTTGAAAGAAGCAGCACAAATTGTGCGCAAGGGTGCAACAACCGTCATATTTGGCGATTTCGACATCGAGTGTATGGTAAAAAGTGCGAAAAGTAATTTTTTACATATGCACTCATTCGGTGTGACTAAAGAACTGTATATATACTTTTTTATGTGCATGATGAAGTCGGCGTTTTATTGTCGTTTTGTACAGTCATTGTCCGTGATATATTCCATGTTTTATTTCTTCAGTCACAATATTTTCGTACAGCTGAGCCAACGGCGTCTAGCCAAAAATGGAGAAATGCAACTCAAAAAGTGAAATTGCAAATTGATGACGAAAGTGAAAACCATTCGTTTTGGCATTTACGAAGAAACAATTGTTAAAAAAAAACCTTAAATTCTACAGTTCTGTATGCATACAGCATGCTTGAATCTACAAATATAAAGCAAAAAGCACAGAGAATTGCCAACATTTTGCCTGAAGAGAAACCAAATGAAACCAGAAAAGTACCAGAAAGCCATTTGATTCACGAACAAAATGATTTTGTAAAACAATAGGCGAAAATGTAGCGTAACCAATATACAAATAATTGAATGAGACTGTATAAATGAACAAAGAACACATGTAAAATGTCTATGAAAATATCAAACGAACAAAAAAAAGAGAATTCAAATCTCAATTAGTCCCTCTTTTGGGTTGGATTCATACATTTTTTGCGCTCCGTTTCGACAATTTAATACTCACTTGGTGTTTTTGTTAGTCTCTTGCATTTCAAAATGTATTTTTCATCGTTTTGCGGTAACCACATTAAATATGTTTGTATAATTGTCAAGTGTTCGATTGTGTAATAGGTATGAACGCAGACCCATAATACACGCATATGTACGCGTGCACATACACATACAACGTTTGAACGGAATGCGAGCGAAAAAAGGGGTTTGACTTTTGTACACATACATGTACGCAGTTTTCATTTGTTAAATTCGTCGATTTGTGGTGTTCCGTCTGTTGTACACGAAACGCTGTGTATTGAATTACGATAAAGGAGACACACTGAAGAGCTACCTAAGCCTATGGCAGCTGCACTAGGATCAACTTATCCCAAAAGTACATTCCATGCTTGTACATCGGGAATGTGTAAAATAATGTGGGTCTGGAATGAGCTAAACAAAAGCCATAAACTTCACTCAATTTGAGCTGTGCATGTAACTCGATGAACATTCGAAATAGCGACCATTCATTCTGATACATATGCTCTATTTCTTTCTATCTTTCTATCTGTCTATCTTGTGTGCTGACTTGTCTCTCTCGTTTCTTCCTTTTTTTGGTTGGTGTAATAACATTGGATTGTCGCACCAGAATTCATTTCACAACGTTGAACGACAATATTTACTTGGCTTGTGTAAAAAGTGTACAAAATCCTTAAGCGAAGCAACGACTCACTTCTAAACCCCACGCTACACATACTATATACATATCGTATGTACACAAAGGCATAACCAAGCAAATAGCAATGACAAAAGCATAAAGCAATAACTGGCAATAATATTCATTCGTTCCCTACTTTTCTCGCTCTATATATGCGTCGGATTTCATTTCATTTGGTTTCATTTTTTGCGCCCTGGCGGTTTGAAATTGTATGCAAACATATTCGAGTCGAAAGTAAATTTTCACGACTTAAGCTGCCGTACATTAAATCGAGGATCACACAGCCAAAAAGGACTTTAACTCTGACTTTATTGTTTGTGCATGTATTCGCAAGAATGCCAGTGAAATGAACGATGAAGAAAACGGAAGGATATATATAAAGAGAGAGAGAGAGAGAGAGAGAGAGAGAGAGAGAGAGAGAGAAAATAAGCATGGAGTTTAGAGTACGCTTTCTCGTTACCTCAGTTCATGGATTGAGCAAAATGTGCATATAAAATACACACAATTTAAGAATAATAATACACGCCTCCTAAACTCCTAGCCAACTTATACAATATACTCTCACTCGCACAAACGGTGAGCACTGAGCAGTAAGTACTGAGCATTGAGCACGCTGCAAATAAATCGAAGCATTGACGGTTCATGCAACATTTTCAAAGCATGCAAAATACATGTTTTTCATCGTGCACTTCACAATGGCTTCGTGAGACGAAAGAAATAAAAACGCATATAGGAGAACCTCATCATACAGTTGAAAATGTTGGTCTCACTTACACATGCTAATAAATTTGTGAACGCTATAAATAAATCCCAAAGAAGATCAGTTTTTTTGGCAACGATGACGGCGACGATTATTCAATGAATTTTATGGCACACTAACATTTTATAGCATGTTACTTTTTCGGTGTTGCTCTACGACAGACGTCTGATGAATGGAAAATGCATGATGAGGAAAAATTTTGAAAATCACTTTTTCCTCTCTTGAATAAAACTGCTTTGTTCTATCTGGTACGTCGTACCGTATGCGACGCTCATCATCAGCCTTTGGGTTTCAATACCGTGTTTCACATATGGTTCATGGGACGCACAGACAAATTTATAAATACATTGCGAAAAAAAAAAAAAAGAAGATGGAAAATCTTTCGCCTGCAAAATGGCACAAACACTAAAGCCATTCACGGATGAAATTTATTTATAGGATCGTGTTATTTGAATGGCATTTTTTCGTTTAGTTCCTTGTTGCTGCTCACATGAATTCACTTCCATTTTTTATATTCTAAAAATTGCTTTCACTTTTTTTTGGTGTCTTTTATGACGACATCATGCGTGTCCGTGACGATATACCAGTACACACCAATTATCATAATTTGAACTTTGTGAATTGAACGTGTTTTTTATGAGTTTATTGCATATTTGTCGCCACTTCAGCAATTATTTTCCGCTTTGAATTCGTCGATTCTCCGGTTCAAAAACGGAAAGCGGGAAAAATATGAATAAGGAACAAATGAAAAACCCTCTCACCGGTCGTGTGCCTTTGCCTCGGAGACAGGATAGACACGCATCGCGTATGTGAACTCATATTCAAATATGTAATGGAACCAAAAGAATAATCATTGGGTTCATGCATTTTACGCAATACGCATAAATAAATGTTTTTTATGGTGTCTCACCTATACATGAATTACGCTACAAGCCAATTGACGAACGACATCGCATCAGTTGATTTGTATAATGAATGGCGCGATAGCGAACGAAATATGCACATGAATAATGCATTAGAAAATGAAAAGGAAATGAATTCACTCGAAATATGTAAATAATAATATAGATTGGTGTCTGTTGAATTTATCGAAACTGAAATGTATGTATGCGGTGATGTATCTGTATATGGAAGCATGTTTCGAGGATTTTACATGTTCACTTCGTGACTTGAAAAGACTTCATGGTTTAGAAATTTTCATTTGATTCTGCAACCGAATAAATCATTTCACTGAGCAAACATATTTTTCAAAATCGATACCGATGATTGTGATGGTTCCGAAAAAAAACCCTATATGATTACATTAAATACCTAATCCAAACATCATTGCAATATCTTTGCGCTATTTATATAATTTATGGTGTCACTGACAACATGTAATTTTCCTTCGTTACATTGAACTTTTCTCACTATGAATAAATGGTTTTTCATCGCAATACCACTTCTCATTCCCATTTCAAATACCCATCGAAATGAATGAATGGGAAATTTGGTAGTATCAGCACCTTTTGCCGCTTATGTTTTTCGTTGCCACTGATATAATTTGTGAATTCATAAATGCAAAAGTGAAAAGAGACAAGGTTGGCATGAAACCCATGATTGCCAACGTTGCATTAAAGTCATTCCATTTAATTCGCACACATAACACGTAAAATATGGAAATTTTCCGCTTGATGTACGCCAAAAATATATGTTCATTCCGATGTGCCAGTTTTAAAATTGAAATGAGACAGCGACTGTAATGATTTCGCCACAAAGCACGTGAACACTGATATGCAACGAATATTCCCTTTTTTTATTTTGCCTGACAGCCAATAGACAGTCGTTTGAATTATGTTCGGAATTAAATTGAGATTCAGAAGTACGCCAACAATAAGAGATTACACGAAAAATGCTAATGAAATGGTAAATATGCATATGAGACCGTGCAAAGTGCTGTGAAAAATGGCGGCTCTTAAAAGCTAAAACTGAAACATCGTCTCAAATTTCGAAGCTCAAAGCGATGGATAGCAAAAACACACTGCTGTATTTGCCGTCGCAAATTCAATGATGCACACATACGTGTTTGTATGTGTTAACATTGGCATG